TATATATATATATATACATAAGTAGTGAAAGACAGAGGCTAATTTATTGGACCCTGTATATAGGCCCTGTAGTTTATAGACATGCAACAAACTATGTAGACCTACGTCCTTAGCACCAGTTCCAAAACCTAATTGGGACCCGACCAGAAAGTGGGTAGTGGCAGGTTCAGGTAGACGCTAAACCCAGACCGTACCCCGATCCTGAATCAGGTTCGAGACGGGGTCTTGAGGTGGGGCGTTGGGGGGTGTAGCGTTCAGGGGTCCTTGTACCATGTGTAGCTGCTTTCAGGTTTTAAGGCTTGGTGGCTGGGTGTTTGGGCTTTCGTTGGTGGTTTCAGGGTGATCCTGGAGCGTTTAGGGCTTTGCGGTTTTTGGATTTGCTGCGCCAAACATGTGCCAACTCGTAACTCGAATGGATGCTCGCCAAACCCTAATAAACCCTAGGCCCTTGAGCTAATCCCTAAACCCTAAATGTCGAAGCCCCAACACCCTTAACAAATCGACCGTAACTTACCGCACTTTAAGACCCTAAACATAAAAGAACCTGAGCCGGCCCAAGGCCCTGTGTTTGTTTTTACGACACTAAACCAAAAGGCTGGGTTTTAGGGTTTAGAGTTTAAAGTTTAGAGTTTAGAGCTTAGCTGTGCAGGACAGCGAGATGATGTCGCCTGGCACACGCTGCAAGCTGCCAAGGTCCAGAGCATCCAGTATGCGACCGCCGCTCTTTTGCCAGAGGAAGGGTTTTGCGATTCCGGCCTCGGGCTCTAAGGTTCCAGGTTTCGGGCTTACTATAGGGGCATTAATGCTTATATTAGGATTTTGGTGTATGTGATACTACAATCATAGTAAGGAACCACCGAAATAGTTTTGGTAATTAATGAGGCCCCTATATTTCTTGTTAAAGCTCGGCGATTGGAGTTTCGGGTCCAGTGTTTTGCGTGTCCTCGGACTTAGGAAGCATCCGAGGGTTACAAGCAGGGTTAGTAAGCTGGTTTATGGGGCTCACCACAAGATTGTAGGGGGAAATAAGCTTTGCGACGTTCCCCTGACGTGGCGTAGGGCCTAGGGCATGTAGGGTATCAGGGTTCAAAACATCAGGAATTTGGTTTTAGGGTTCTTTACCAGGCTTTCGGCTTATTGATATCATGGAGTCAGTTTTTGTTCATGACAGGGTTTCGATATGAGGGTCTAATTTGAACCTTGAAGGGTCAAGGTTTGCTCTTGAACGCTTGTTGGTGTCTGCTGTGATTAGTGAAGGATGCCTACCGACGGAGGTATAGCAATCAGAGGCTGCGTACGAGGCTCAATAGTTTGCACTTTCGATTCCGGCTAGCGGCTTATAGTACAGTCCCCGCCATACGCTTATGTATTCCTTTCTCGGTCCCGCTCAAAGCGTCCGAATGACATACAGAGTACGAAGTAGGGTTTGCATAACGGGAGTTACCATGTGGTTTGGACTGTATCCATTCAAAACCCGAAACGCGTAAAAGTTCCCTGCCCTAGAACGCCCAGCTCCCCGCCTCTCAGGTGAATCCTCATTACCCGGCCTCAAGAAGCCTTGCTGCGAGATCGGAGTCCAACACCACGAGCTATCACACCTGGCTTCACGGCCAGATTTAGCATTCGGGGTTTAGGGTTATCTGCATCTCAGGTTTACATGTTCGGATTGAGGAGGGTTTTCCGGGTCTCATAGCTCAGAAATGTTTGTGTCATGTTACATATTCCTGACTGGGCACTTGGGGCTCGGGAACCCTGGATTCAGGCCCATACTGGAGCGAAGCGCTCAGTTTCAGATTGATCAAGCGACGGTGTGAAGTTCCGTGCCGTAAACTCTGAACCCTAAACGCCAAGTGTGTCTCTGACTTAGTTTGCCAACCACGTGATTAAGTCGTGTTCAATTGTGTTTTTGGCGGGATATAACGGTTTTATTGGATTCAGCCTTCGTGACGGGAACAAATTTCCATGGTATAATGCAACGCAAAATTATTCTGTCAATTCTGACCCGTTAGGTTGTCTCCTACCCCGCTGTCCACCAGAGCCCAAACCACCATGCTCAAACGCCGAGCCGAAATCCCCCACAGCACTGGGCCTCAATTCTGATGCGTGTGCGTATAAATGAGACCCTCACGAAGGACCTGACTTCAAAGTCGCCGCTCAAGCGCAGTCAGACGTTAGACACAATAAGCAACCGGAATATAGACCGAGTCCCTGAGACCCCTGCAACGCCGAACCCTCAGCCCTACAACCTGAACATCTTAAGCAGATAAACGCCCTGAGCCGTCGAGAACCCAAACACGACAACCCCTTAGCATCCTAAACCTCAAGAACTGTAAAACTCTTAAATTTAACACATTTACCGTCAGAATCCTAACGGCCCTAACGTTCTTAAACCCCTAATCCAAACTGATTCTTACGAAAACCCGAACCCTACACCCTAGGATCTAATTCCATAAAACCTTAAACGCCGGAATCTACTTCCGATACACTGTGAGGCTTCCCCCGATGCCTCGTGGAGTTCAACATCCGCTTGGTTGCTCCGTCAGCTCGGAGGTTTGGTAGTTAGTAGTGGGAACAGACTTGCAGGCATGTAGAATGCATGTATATACGGTATGATATGACACAGCATGATATGACATCATATCATATCATATCATATCATATCATATCATATCATACCATATCATATCATATCATATCATATCATATCATATCATATCATATCATATCATATCATATCATAATATGTCATAGCATACCATGAAATATCTTGCAAATGGCATATCTTATCTTATCATATTACATCACATCACATCATACAACCTGTGTATGTATAAATATATGTAGAGAGAGAGAGGTAGATCCGCAAAGATCGAATCAATTAAGGAATACTTTTGCCATGAAGCACTTTAGGTCGTATTGCCGAAGCTGTCGATCAGTTCTGACTAAGGACTGAGTTCAAGGGCTTCATGAAAGGGTCTTGGGCTCTTTGCAGCTTCCGTGTTCAAGTTGTGGGAGCATTCGGGAGTTGGGTTTCGGGAATTCTGAAGCCCCCAAAGCCCTATTAAACCCCGGTATATTTTGGAGAGGGTCAGCATGGATTAGGCGGGTGCCTTGATGAAGGCAGCCTATAGTAGGCCTACAGCTCGTCGGTATTTAGGGGTTTAGGGTTTATAGGGTTGGGATCCGAGAATCGGTGATGACATTACCTCGCACTTAGGCTTTTGTGCTTCTTTTCGGGGTTGTACGCCAAGCACTGCAGCCCACACCGCAGATCCGAGCTAAGGCTTTGCGTCTCTTCAAGCTCACCTTGTCAAGGCCTTCTGCCTTCCGCCGAAGGCATGCCACTCGTCCGCCCAAGGTTCTTCGATCAAGGCTTGAGGTGTATCGGGTCTTATCGTTTTGAATATGGATTTGGACGTATATCGTCCTATAGCTGCTACAGCCGTAAACCCTAAACCCTTCTACGTGGGGACTTATAAGGATCTTTTGAGTCAGATCGAAATGCCGGTCGTCGGGGTGCAAGATGCAGTGCTTGTGGTTTTTCGGTTTCGCTCCTCCAGGGGCAGGGGCTTGGGGCAAGGCCGGGGTCTAGGTTTGAGATTGTTTCATGTGCCACGCCGCCCAAATCCCAGCGCGCTTTGCCCTCCAGGCCTTTAAGCTCAAGAAAGGCACCGTTTGTGCGGCGCGAGATGAGAAGGGATCCCTTGGCACCCAACCCTGTCAAACGTGCTTCTGAATCGCAGGTCTTGTTCAACTGTCTGCACGGCATGGAAGCCAAGCTTCTCCCAAGGGCCATGACACCTCTTAGACGAATCTCGACACCATATGTATAGTCATATATATATATATATTTATTTATTTATTTATTCATTTATTTATTTATTTAATTAGTTATTTATTTATTTATACATGTATATATGTATATATGTTCATATACACATGGTCCATGTGTATAATATGACATATGGCTATGTGTGTGTGTACATATATGTATATATATATACATATGTTTACGTGTACACATCTGTGTGTCTGCGCCTGTGTGTATGTGTGTGTGTTTGTTTGTTTGTTTGTTTGTTTGTTTGTTTGTTTGTTTGTTTGTTTGTTTGTTTGTTTGTTTGTTTGTTTGTGTGTGTGTGTGTGTTTGTTTGTGTGTGCTTAGCCGAAACCCTGAGGCGAGGTTCCCCAAGCAGGCAGCAACATACCCTTGCCTCACAGCAGAAAGTACCGTGAATTCGGTTTCAGGGAATAGAAGCTTGAACAATTATTGAGGTTACTCCTTGGGGCCTTAGGGTTCTTATCACAGTGATACGATGTCCCACCTCGAAACTTCTTCTAATCATTAAGGCCCCTATGTTAAGCCGGAGTCGGCCGTGACGGAGAGGACGAGGAGCCTGTCGCTAAAGTGGGAGACGTCTTGCTGGAAAGTCGAAGACTCGAAGTGGCTGTGGGCATCCACAACAAATCAAACAGCACGCCCACTTCCAAAAGTAGACTTGCCTCTCTGCTCACATCTGCAAGTACCACACCCACTCGAAGCAGTACACCTTGACAGTGGCACGAAACAACCAAGGTCATCTGTGCTGTGTTCGACAAGGACAAGATTGCGGTGACCAGCAAGCTGTGTACATCGCTCGGAGTGCTGAGATCTTGAGGTGTTTGGTGACACCGATTCTGTCCTCCAACCTCTATGTACGAGTCGTGAGGTTGATCGCCTTTTTCGCTTGGTCCTGTGCCGACAGAGGCCCGGGTACTGAAACAAGGCTGTCGTGGCTACCTCAACAACCTTACGAATGGTGCGACAACTCTATTGTGTGGTGCACTTTGTCGACCTCGTGTTTCGAGAGCCCCTGCTGGGCAATACCAAATTCAAGGCGTCAAGGGGACCTCTTTCCCGCCCTAGTTCTCGCTGCTATTCTTTGGACTGGATCTTGCAGTTGATGACACGAGCACCCTTCTATATAGTGTGTGGGCCTTCCTCAAAGGATGCCGTGAAGGTGTTCGTTTGACAGGGTTTATATGTAACAAGTAGTTTTGCCACCGAGCTGCACTAATTGGGACATTATTTCCTCGCATGTTTTGCGAGCTGGGTTTGCAAGCCAGGATCTTTCCAGAACTGTACGCGACAGAGACCTGGCCAGACAAGCCAAATTCAAGGCTGCGGTGCCGAGTATCCTACACTGGGTTGCTGCCACACTGAATGGGAACTAGGCTCTCCATTGCCCAGTGATGTACGGCATTGGTGGCCAATCATGGAGAACGTCTTCTCTTCGTCGTGTGCCATGGACGTGTGCCATTAATGCACTGGTTCGATATTAGCATATCTCTGTCGCAGCGGCGAGTTCAGGCTTTTCTCATAGATGCGACTATTAGATGCTGGTTGGGCGTCATGGAGCAGGACTCACGGCGCTCTTCGGTGAGAAACAGGGCGCCCCTTGACGATGACACCTGCCTTGCGACGGATTTTGACAGTGCTAAAGTGCGCCGGCGTCGTGCTGGCGATGTTTCCAGTCACTTCCGGAGCATCCGACAATTTGTGTTTCGCACTCGGTGATGCGTTGCCTGCACGCGCCTGGGCCAAGTAGACTGCATCGCATCAGACAGAGCTTGCACGTGCCTGTATACGCTTGTTTACATCGGACGATGCCAAGTCTCCATGCTTGTGCCTGGATCCTATCGATACGAGCAAGTGATCTGCAGACACAGTTGTTCTTTTGTACGTGATCTTGCAACCCCGAAACAAAGTTTGACAGACTGAGACACATCTCAGGCACACTGCATGATGCAAAAAACTCCATGGGCGGTGTTCTTACGCAGCAGCATGCACGAGTTCCTTGCTATTGATGAGCTTTGCGGAAGATCATTATGTTTTTAGAGGACTGCCGGGTCGCGCTGTTAAAGTGTTCGCGTGCCCGGGGTATGAAGCTGGAACCGCTGAAGCATGTATGCGGAGAGCTGCATCGGATGGCGGACTGATTTTTCCATGGGATTAGAGAACCTCTGAATTCAACGGTGTTCGTTTTTGGACCTGAGATTTCCGTTGGTTTAGGTGTATTTTTTCTGAGATTTGGGTTTGGGTATCTATGAGGGGTCGCGTACACTTATGCGCCAAACATCAATTAGTTCCTGCAGCACATGACAAGCAAGTAAGAGGACAGGTCACACTATGCGTTGAGGTTCTTGCCGAATAATTGCACGTATGTATAAACCAATAAACGAAAAGAATATATATATAAGAGTATAAGTACATATATATATATATATATACATACACACACACATCGTATCAGACGAAGATGGGTAGCTGAGGTGACCTTGGCTCCCTGAGCTCTTTGGATGGGACTCCTTTTTCGCTGCTCCTGGGCCTCAGCAAGGTGTTTAATTTTTTCTAGGGGGTTTAGAAGTTTCAATGGTATTCCTTACGGTTCCTCATTGTACGTGCAATATCATATACGCCCCAAGCCCCTGCTGTACTTGTTAGGGGCCCTACAGTATTTCAGGTGGCTTGGGCATGATGGCCAAAGGCGTAGGGCTCAGAACCCAATACAAGCGGTATACAACCGCCGAAAGCCATGCAAACCCTAGACTTGTAGAACCCCAGCTTTCGGGAACAAGCGCAGTTAAGGTCCATGGCCAGACCAACGTAGGGATATCACGAAATTAGTTTTTGGAATCCCGCCATTTTGCGGCGGAACCTCCTGTTTCGGGCCCCTGACAGGGAAATGTCGACGAGGCCAACAGACAGAAAACCAATCACGCATGCGCCGCTAAATATGATTTCGTAGCAGTGCTGCAGACTGGACATTGGAGCACTGCCAATTGCGAATTTTCAGTCTGGTGCAACGACCCACACAATGCAGGGGTCATAACCCATCATAGAGCGCGCCCTAAACTTGAATCCTTAGCCCTTGCTTGGTGTACATCCATACGCAAAATTAACCAGCTGTTTGAGATCACATCCCCTAGGACAGGTTCGAGCAACGTAATTACGGCCGAAGTCGAATGCATGGTCCAATCCAGCGCTACCCTAATACCCAAAACCAAAAATATACAGCCATACCTACCCTAAACTTTCAAAGATAGCATGCCTAAGGTATGCGCCCACCCCTGCACTGAATTCCACTTCCGCAACCTCGGCCGGGGCCGAAGCAAGCTGCAGGGATCCGTGTTGCAATTTGCAGAATATGTACAGCTTATTGTTCATGTTCGGGCAATTGTCGGATATTTGCCCTTCCGTTTACATGTTTGACGATAACCTGGTTGCCCGGACCCTTCGTGCCGCTTCGGATACAGCCCCATCGTCATCGCTACCGGTGGCTTGATGACAAGTGTTCCATCATCAATTTCTCGTTGTGCTGACCTCGTTCGCTTCGGACATTTCGAGGAAGATCAGAGTGTCTGCTGTGTTTGCGATATGTGTTTGGCTCTTATTGGCGGCAACACGACTACTACCATTACATGCTACTACATGCACTGCATACTACTACATATCACAAAAACAAAAATTTCGACGACGACGACGACGACGATTCCTACTACTACTACTACTACTACTACTACTACTACTACCACTACCACTGCTACTGCTACTGCTACTACTACTACTATTACGACTACTACGAC